GTGTGATTTGTTGTTTTCAGCGACATCTAGTGGTTGAGTGGTTGAATCATCCTCCCTGGCACCCCCCCCCACCCCCACCCCCGCTTCCAAACACAAAGGAGTTGCTACGGTGTCTCTCAGGTGTCAAAAACCTTTGATAATTCCAACCGCGATGTCTACCAGCAGCTTCAGGGCTAGTGATGTTTCAAGTGGTAAGATTATGAGCTTTAACAAGTAAAATTATACCAGCTACAATGACAGACAACAAATATTACATTTATTACAACTAAAACCGTTTTTGACGCCGCCACCGCAGTTTGTCCTTCATGAGCCTTCGTAGACAAGATGGCGGCTGCCTGTAGTGGCGACCCGTGACCATGGAGATATAAACAGCTTTTTATAAGGTAAAAATAATAAAACAAGGTCTTTGTCTGCAATGATTAGACATGTTTTTTTATTATTATTGTCAATAGTGATTATCTCAATTTCGGCTATAAGAATTGACAAAATCCTACATACTGTACCTTTAATACTTAAGTACAAAAAGTATCAGATACTTTAAGACTTTTACTCAAGTAATATTCCTAAAGAGTACTTTAACTTTTACAAAAGTAATTTTTTGGTAAGATACTTGTACTTTTATTCAAATATCACTTTGAGGTACTTTATACAACACTGATTGAGTCTGCTGTGGAGATGTGGGGCTGAAGGTCCCACCTTCCCTACCCCCCTTCACACTGTCACTGTGTTTTTTCAGCAACCAATTATAGATAAATTATAAATTAGGGTCTAAACTACAAGAATAAATAGAAGTCACTACTGGGGAAGAAATGATCTGAGGTGTGTTTTTGTTTTAGTCAGGGAAAATCCCTTTTCTACATGAACTTAAACTTATACTGCAGCCAGCCTGCAGGGGGCGCTGGTGCTGTGTCAGCTTTTACCTCTGCATCGTCCAGACAGAATGCTGTTATAAGATTTAAGAAGATTTAATGTGCACTGACTTACAGCTACCAGAACAATGCACCACCCAATGGGACCAATGCACACTCCTTTGTTTCAAGCCACATCTTTAAAAACAAAAGATTTGCTTTGCCAGGATGTGAAAAGCCAACTAACACTGTCATCTGTCCTCAGTTACCTGGCTTTTGACTTTCACAAAGAGTGCAGTCACATGAGATGGGACCGTCTTCAGATTTTAGTGGATGCTGTTGCAGAGACACAGGATGAATACGGGTACCTTCATAAGCTCATCTAACTAACATCTACATCATCTAACCTGTAGGTGCATGCTGTAAGTGAGTCCATGTGGTTTGTTTGCAGTTACTTCATGCTGAACTCGGAGGGAAAGATAATGAGTCAACAGAAAGGAGTTTTCCGCAGTAACTGCATGGACTGCCTGGACAGGACCAACGTCATTCAGAGCCTGCTGGCACGACGCTCGCTGCAGTCTCAGCTTCAGGTACGTCTTTTGTTCAGTCCTTCAGGACAAAATAATAAGAAAACACACCAAAATTCACCGGAGACGATAAAGAACCAGAAACAGAACACAGTATATTACAAAATGTATCAAATGATCTGCACCAACAAAACTCCGCCTGCACCGTTCAAGTGACAGTTTGATCTTCTTCAGACTCACAAGAGCTAAACACAAAGTCAGCATCTTTAAATAAATCAATTCTATCATGTGACAAACCTCTTATTCAAAACTACACAGATCATTATTATAAATGTAACCTGAAATGTTGAAATTCAACTGAAAATACACACAAATTATACCTAATGATCAAATTTTAAATATCTACCAAAATAATTACAGTTAATAATATAATGTAATAATGTTTTATTTATATATAT